GTTTTTCACCCACCAGGACTATGGGCCTGCTTTGTTTTCTACTTAGCAAACCAAGATAAATGGTTTTAGCAAAACCAAGATAAATGATAGCAGGATAACACTCTTGCTTAACAAAAAACATTTTATAGGTTAAGGCCACCATCAGCTATTTAGGGTAAGAGAACTAGAACACTCTCTTCAGAAAAGCATTTAGTTTGGATTAAAAATAAACTATGAAGCATCTGTCAAATAATAGGTAAATTGTTCCTGTAGTCATCTTTCTCATTCAAATGTAACTTATTTGTGGCACTAATTTCTTAGCTTCAGATTTCCACCTATTAGATCCTCCTATATCATTGACTGATAAATTGAAAATCCCTTTGTTAGGAGATTTCTGCTCCACTGTAGGTATTAATACATCACAATCAAGGCTCCTCTTATATTCAACTTTAAGCTTGAGCTTTTCCAGTCCTTGCATCCTCCTCCTAACTGTTGTCTAGTGATTTCCAGTTTTTCAGTAACTTTCCTGCATTGCTGAACAAAAAGGGAAAGTAGTATTCCAGTGCCTATACCAGTGCCAAATACAAAGCTGAAATAATCGCTACCCTGAAGGGAAGCAGAGCTGTTTGTTTGCTTTGACATAAGCATGCTGTCACAGTTTTGAAGTGTCAGTTCCATTCAACTGTTTTGAGATTCTGTTTCTGTCATTACAGCATGATCCAGCCATCCACTCAGTGTCCCATAGCTTCTCTGTCAGGGAGGATCTTCCAGACAAGCTTTCAGTGAAACTGGAACTCAACAGGAAGCAGAAATCCTGTGAGGAAGAGAAACCAGATTTTTACATCCTGAATTTCCAGGGCCTATTGTGTCATCCATTCCTAGTGACATTTGGGGGTTTGGAAAAATCTTGCTTCCCTGTGCTGAAGCCAGTGTTGCACCATTGAGCATCTGAACCCTCCTGCTGCAATGGAGACATATCTTCACTCTTCTTTCAGGCATCAGATCTGTTGTCTCTTTGATCATATGCCCATGAGTCACCTCACTCCTGTAGCCACAGTGTTGTAACTGGAAGTTTATATTGAATCAATTTTCTACCCTCTCTTCAAGGCTTTTCATTGGTCATTACTACCCACAGTCCAGTATCCACTCTATAACTATGGCCTGCCTCTGATTCTGTATACTGCAAGCTTGAAAATGTTTGCCTTGCAAACTTGGTAACCATTCAGTATTGCTCCAAATCATTATTTGTAGCTATCCTAGTCTTAAAATTGAAACCAAGAAGAATATTATAAGAAGTCAGTGCAAGAATCCACCCTTGTAAAAATACGGAGCAGTCCAGTGTAGCCTGTGTTTGTTGCAGATATAAGCAGCTGTTCACTTTGAGAACTCCTTTATGCAGGCACACTTCATGATGTCAAGGAAGTTTGCATTTCTTCTTCTTGGTCTTTATTGCCTCACTTTATCACATAACTTCACAATACAACATCTAGCTATGGATGGCATTGCATATGGTAGTCTAGTTTAAGAAAATGGCACAGGGAGACTAATGCGAATATTTCCATCAATAGTTTGTGTATGGTTTTTTGTATCCATTTTAAATGCACGAGACATGTTAGTATTTAGGAATCAGATAGTAAGTTGGCAGTCCGATGAGATGAAGCTGATGAATTTTAATGATTCTGTTCCTTGACGTTTGTGCTCTCAGCTGAATCTTTGTAAAAATCTTTCCCATACATCAGCCAAAATACATTTAGGGCTCATTTAGCCAAACACATCCATCTCTTTCCCAAGATAAAAAAAACAGAAGATGCCTCATCAACACTCCAGACATGTCCAAGAATTGGGCATTTCCACCATCATCCTGTAATTAAAGCAGAATGATTGAACCCTGGTCACTCATTTCAGAACTGGAAGAACCACCCACAGATTCTAGATTGATAGGGCACAGGTAAACTGTTGTTTTCATCAGCACTCTTCTTTTTCATAAGCTTAAGCCTGCTTTTCCCTATTTCCTGTTTAGCAGTACTCATTTTCTGTGTTCCCTCTCTTTCTCACCCTGTTACTTTATAATGGGAGCTGTAATTACAACCAATAATTACATAGAGAAAATAAACTGATTATTGCTTGTCAAAAAACAAAACAACCTTTCTTCAGATAGACATACCCTCCGTTCACAGCCAGTTCAGGCTCTATTTCTCCCTCTTTCCTGTGGATACTCTGCCCCCTTTTAGATGCAGGCTCAGCATTTTCTTTGTTATTAAAGGGAGGACAGGGCTTGATGTTACCCTAGAGAGAGGGGAAGGGGGTGGTCAGCACCCCCTGCTGTGATTTCAGGATGGAAGGCTTTTTCTTCATTTGCTCCCAGCCTGGAAAGGTTCAGTCAATCTTAAACTAATAATAATTTGTTAAGCTGGTAATAGGATAATTGGAACCCAGTCCAAATATAAGCCATTTATTCTTCCCTTAGTCTGTTAAATATCTCACCTTGTACAGCCTGACAACTTCTGCCCAACCCTAATCACTCAATCGCTTGATTTCTACCTCCTTCTGCCCTTTAGCCTCTGCCATAGCTGCTACCTATCACTGCCGGTTATCCTATCTCCACAAAACACAAGCACAGAAATCACTTCCTTCATCAACCTAATAACATTATGCAATCAAATCACGTCCTGGTTCTCCTTCTCTAATCACATCAAGATTAATACTTTTTTTTCCTTCAAGACATCAAGTCTCTCCACATTCACCTATATTTCTCACTGTTTGGTTTAACATCCCATGTCAGCTGTTTTGTCAGTAATGTCAGTCTGTTTATTTTTTGTATAACAGTTTCCCAATCCTTTCACAGGCTAACATCTCTCCTGCACACAGTCCTCAGACAATTCATGTTTAGGCTACCTATATTACATCAGCAATCATTCAACACCACAAACCAAAGATACAGTCATTTTGATAAATATTCTCTTAGTTGAGAAATCATGTGAACTGGCAATATTTTATCTTGGTTTGCTGTCTCTTTATATAATGCTCTCAGAAAGCTTTCGTCAGTAAAAAGGAGTCTGTATGCAATAAGAGCTGGTAGTTCCAGGTAGAGGGATAAGCGTGATCACCACCAAAGACTGCTGAATGCAGTAGGCATGGTTTCATAAGCTATCCGTCCTTCCACCTGAGCCCAGCTGACTGCTAGGAGGCTTTGCCAGGCTATTTATGGCAGGCTGACCTTTTACATTTGTGCAGTTTATTTAAATAAGAACTACACTCCAGAGACTTGTTTCCTACATCTTATATATACTATATTAATAATAAACAGCCAATATATAGATACATTGTCTCTTCTTCAAAAGTAGCCCTGTTCCAATTGAGAAATAGATGAAATTCTCTGGTGGTGAAAGGAGTGAGATAACTTTAAAATCAGTGGAGCTGAAATCATTTACAGCAGCAGAGAACATAGCCACTAATTTCAGTTTTGAGATTATTGAGAAAAAGAGTATAGCCACCCTCTCTTTAAACCGTTGCCAGTTGTGTACAATACAAGCCCAACAGTGAAAGTAAAGGCACATCTAACTCCGAAATGGTTAAATATTTCTTTATGACTTGACTGGACACAATTTAAGCATAATCTCTTCCTAATCATGAATCATTGTTATTCTCTGAGGTGTGGATGTTCCAGGCAGATTCTCATTTCACTTCACACCAAATATTTCATGTAGCAGTCTGCCTATGAACATAATTTTGTGCTTACTCAAAAGGTTGGAACTTAAGGTTGGAAGTTAGCCCTTGGATTTATGAAAGCTGAGCTGAGAAACTAGATCTGAACAAAAGTGACTCTTCTTGCCACCTGGAATAAACTGTTTTCTCCAGTTGAGGAATGGAAATCTGAAAGTTCTCAAGAATTTTCTAAAATGCTTAAATGCTAAACAAGAAATAATATAAATAGTATTTATAGAAGTGCAGTCTACATTTTTATCTTATTTCTGAAGGAGAGATGAGAGAGGCTTAGAATTTAATTTTGAAATGTAAAATGTGGAGAAAAACAATGGATGATTAGGGAGAAGTACTGTACAAAGCTGCAGGTATAGCATAAAGATTCCATACGTTGACAGAAAATTGTGAAAATAATGTTTTAGCCTGATCATCTGAGCAAAAGCTGCTATGGTAGTAATTTATAATAGTTCTATGTAACCCAAATTAAATGATATGACTAAAGATTAAATGTATGTAGTAGGAAGGACTGTAGAAAGTGAACATATAGTGTATTATTAATAAGACAATTTTGTTTGTCAGCCACGGTCATGACAGGCCATGACAATATTCCTTTGCACATAATCTCCAATAAGTTCAGCAAATATAATGTTAAAAAATAACCTGATGGTCTGACTGATGAACTATTCCAGAGATCATTATTTTGTCTATAGACTTGAACCTCCATGAGTAAAAAATAACACAGTACTGGAAAAAAGAAAAGTTCTTAATGAGTAACAAACTCAGAATAGCAATGAAGTCTTTTCAAGACTCTCTACTACAGTGAATCCTACTCTTGTCCCGTATTTTACCAAATAGAAGAAAAACTTTTGAGTCTGTTAATCTTTAATGCTGTTTCTCATCTACTGCTGACTTACTGATTCCTAAATACTAACATGTCTCATACATTTCAAATGTATACAAAAACCCATATACAAATTGTTGATGGAAATACTCTCATTTTGATTAAATAGCATATCCTTATTTAGGAGTTCCTAGGCTTGGCAGTTTCAAGCAGCTATTATTCCTCATTCATTAGGCTATCCATTATACCTCTTTTTCTACATTGCCATATTTTCTAATGCACTGAACGGAAGTTCAGTTCAACTGGCAAAACAGACTTCAAAACCCTCTGTAGGCCTGCAGTGGGCATATGAAGAATTCTTTTGTTTCCATTGAGTGGCACAGGAAAACGACAAAAAGGCCAAAGTCATAAGCTACTGTGAGGAAAATTCAGATTTGATATTAGGGGGAAAAATCACAATTAGTGGTACAGCATTGGCATGGATCGTCTAGAGAGGCTTCATCTCTGCGATGATCAACAAAATCCATTGGGCTTCTCTTTGTCTCCATCTGTTTACAGCTCTAACAATGTAAGAAATCACAGAATGGTTTGCATTGGAAGGGATCTTAAAGATCATTTAGTTCCAACCCCCCTGCCATGAGCAGCGTCACCTTCCACTAGCCCAGGTTGCTCAGAGCCCCGTCCAGCCTGGCCTTGAACACTGCCAGGGAGGGGGCAGCCACAGCTTCTCTGGGCAACCTGCTCCAGTGTCTCACCACCCTCACAGGAAAGAATTTATTCAGTTTAAAACCATTACCCTCATCCTACCACTACACTCCCTGATAAAGAGTCCCTCCCCATCTTTCCTGTAGGCCTCCTTTAAACACTGGAAGGCGACTATAAGATCTCCGTGGAGCCTTTTCCAGGCTGAACAACCCCAACTCTCTCAGCCTGTCCTCATAAGGGACAGTCTAGTTTATCATGGTCACTGTCATATGCATATTTGTCTGGACAATACAGCTTAGTGTCATCCATCTATGCACATATAATTGCTACACAGTTTATTTTTTTCATAGTGGGGCTCTGGAAGGTAACACAAACCTACAAATTTAGGAGGGAAAATAAGCCTGTTAAAGAACCAGACCTACTGATACAGTTTATATATATTAGGATATAAGAAACTCCAGCATAAAGACATCTTTTAGCTCATGGCCTCCAAGGTTTCTCAGACAGAAGCTGTGCAGTAACATTGCACATAACTCTCTCCAGCACGGGGAGGAAAGAACAAGGGAGACATAAGCAGTGTCACTGCTGACAAGTTACTTGAAATTTTGTGTTAACGTTCCTCATTGGCACCACTGGAGTCACCTGCCTTTCCTTGTGTATAAGATGGAATTTCTAGGCTGACAGCTTCAAAGGGGTGTGTGCATATACTAATTGTGCTACAAATGCCATGTGAAGTGAATTTCTCCTCTGGATTAAGCAGCCCCATCTGCCAGGCTTTGATCCTGGCTACTTTTTTCTGCCTCTGCATTGAGAATTTCTCTGAATTGAGGAACTGCCCCAGTGCAATGTTTTGCCCAGGCTGGGTCAGTTCACCAGTCTGGTTCGCTGCATGATAGCAGGAATGTGGAGAAGGGATGGCAGCAACTTTTTGTCAGCAGTGAGCACTTAAATACACTTCAAAAACTACCTCATGTTTTTTCTTTGCCATGCTTTTGACTTCTCCAGCCCTTCAGTACAGTCCTAGAGAACCCTTCTAGCAAAATTTGAATGTCACCACACAAACTTTCTGTCTTCTCACTTCAAAAATGACAAAAAATATGAAATATATCTGTTTCTTAGTTATGCAAGTCAACTGACCAATCCATAAGTTCATACTTCCCCTTAGCACACAAAACCTAAACAGATTAATGATCGAGTCATAAGGTAAGCACTCAAGCCTGTAAATAAAAAGATTACAAAAAGCAACAAGTTACTGCAACAGCCCACCCTCCCTCGCAGGTGTTATAATAGCAGGCTATAGCCACCATAAGCTTAGCACAAGACAAATTGTTAGAAAACACAGAAACAGTTACAATAAACTATCAGTGAAATCTGGGAGATAAACGCTTTACAAGATCCAGCTGTATATAAGGAATTGTGGGCCCTTAAAAAACCAAATGACACAACTGCTCTGATACAGTTCAGACTGTCCATGTTGCAAGCTTGGGACCTGGAGAGCACATTCAAGCTTCTTATCATTTCTGTAGTTACTACAGGCCATGTGACCCTCAGCTGTTGCCAACGTCTGCCCAACAGCACAATCATAGAAAAGCCACAAATTAATTTCATATTTGAAAGAACGTTGGCAGTAGTAACTGCACCAGAACACCAGGGAATTTGAGGTCAGATGACACATCTGAACTTTCTGGTTGGCTCAGTAGTTGAATTCAGTAAAAACTGTGGACAGCAGTCTAAGTCTAGTACAAGTACGTTGCAGATATCTTACAAAATTTGTCTTCATTCTCTCATTCCCTCCACCTATCCCTGATTTTGCTTTCTCTGATCTCTAGACACAACAGAACTCTGTTTTTCCTGAGTGTAGGTGGAGCCAAATGACTTTTGGGTAAGGGAGGAGGGGATTCTTATAAAATCTATTTTACACATCCTGAATGAGACAGGTAGGTTTGTTCAGTTAGACTGCACATACAAGGAATAATAAATAAAATGACCTGGTGGTTTGCAGCACAACTCAAGAAATTACATACAACTGGAAGGTGAAGGAAGAGCTTCATATCCCATACAAGCCTAGATTACCTGAGTAAGGTAATTTCTTTATGCTATACTTTATTTTTCTTACTTCAAACTGGTTGCTCAGAGCATTCAGCTCCTCTTTTCCACCTTGACATGCTTTGTCAGTAAATCGTGTTGTATATTCATTAGACTGGTTCTTACTAAAATTATGTCAGTGAAGTCAGAAAGGAGAATTTTATTAAGAGGTCCTCTTGAATCTGCTCTTATTGAAGAGCAGTAACTAGCACAGCTCTATTGTATGTGAAGCTGTAGTGGCAGGAGAGCATCAGCAGAGGCAGACTGAGTGTTAGATGAAAACAAGGTCTCAGTGTGACAAACATATTAAGTACCTGTTCCCTGGCTGTGTACAGAGGCACGTGTGTGAAGGAAGTTTCAGCATACATTACAATTTATTTCTGTGTTTCTTTCCATCTTTGTTCTAATACAACAATTAAACCAGTATTATATTCATCTGTTGTCAATTTATTAAAGATTTACTTTGTATTTAGTTTTATGTAGTTGATTTTGCTGAATAGTTCCTACTTCAAGGTAGTCTAGTTAGTGATTCTGTCCCAATATCAGCCTTTGCTGAAAGCAGTTCTGCCTTTGTGTACATCAAGTGTGTTTTTCTTCCTTTTTTTTTTTTTTTTTGTAAGTCAAAATCTAAGAATCTAAGGTGAAGTAATATGCTCATACTGGAAACGCAACCCAAGCCACAACTAACAAGTCATATTTCTTCATCTAACCATGGAAAGACTTAATACTTGCCTTTTTTGTCTTCTTGAAGAACCTGTTTCTGCAAAGTGTTAACTATCACCAGCTCACAGAGAGTGAGCCTCTAAGATAGAGTGAATAAAGTTATTTAGAGAGCTTTATGTATGACCATGAAAACACAAAGACTAGGATTCATGGCAACAGCAGTCTTTTCTTGATTCTACCACCAAGTTGTTCTGCAATGTGAAGTAAATATATTAAACTCATTTGCTTTTCTGTAAAGAGCAAATGTGCATACGGAACAAAAGATAACCAAGTAATGCAAGTATCAGTCTTCCCAAGTTTAAATGGCACCCTAAAATGCAAGTAGTCAGACAAGCTTTATATAATTTATTTTTATTATTGGCTGATAAAACTTCTGAATCATTGGCATGAATAAAACCAGGAATAGGTTGGAGAACTTGCAGAGCATGAATAGAGGAACACCTCCAGTGCCACAGAAAATGCCTCTGTAACTATCCAGCTGCAAAGATAAAGGTTGCACTTTTTCCTGCATGTTCCTGGTGGCCAGCTTCTTCATAAGGGGAATGATACTGCTGACAGACCTGTCTGCTCTTGCTGATGCACACGCCAAGCACAGATGACAGCACTGTGGCTTTCCTGATTTAAGTCTCTGTCTCACTGGGCATCCATTCCAGCTGCTGTGGGAAAGCGTGGAGGTAGGAGGCAGTGGGATGCTAGACAGAGCGCTAATGCTTCCAGGCATGATTTTGGCATTCTTTGAGGGATCTTGTGTGTGGCCAAGCACAACAGAAAGGGCAGTTTCCCTGCAAGTTTTTCCTCCTTTCTTTTAAGAGGTTAGTTTCAGGGCCAAGAAGGGAAAGTGAAGACCTTAAAACCTTACCATTTACCATTACTCAATAGCTAAGAGCAAAAAGAGATGCTGGGTGGTTTTTCAGCTTAGTTTTTTTCTCAATTACACACTTGTAGTAAACTTTCACTTTCAAGTGAAGAAGAGAAGAGAGTGGATCATGGTATCAAAACCAACATGTCCACTCATGGCAACATCTACATTTTCTTCTTTCTACTCTGTTCAGGCATTACAGCAATTCCCTACAGTACATAGCTGTACTGCTTTCAGATCTGTAGGGCTCCTGGGAGATAACTACCACCTTGATTAAATCATGTAACTGAAACAGTAATTTCGTTTTGGAGTTGCATGTAACACTGTGATCATTAAAAGAGACTGGAGGCTGAATTCTGAGTTGTGACATACAACATGTATTTGTGGTCAGGAAAAAGACTTCATTTAAGTCTTGTGAACAGTAGGGCCTGATTTGTACTCCTCCTAGGGCAAAGTTTGCCTAATGACGGTGAAGGATGCTGGGTGGTGTCAGGAATTAGTAGATTTTATCATGCCTGTTTTAGTCTGAATGCTACCTGGTAAATAGCAGGATTTCTTCTATCTGTCTTGCAGCAGAAATCATAATCTCTTGCCCAAGCATGTCCATGAAGAGTGCAGTAATATCAGTATCACTCTGCCTAGGCAGACTTATTTTCCCTGTGTGTTTCATCCTTTTTTATATTCTTCAGTAACTCAAAACAAATTATGACCGTGCCACTTGAGCCCAGCAATATCAGAAGACATGACTAGAGCTTGATCTAGTTCCTGTATTTTCTTATAGTATCTGAACAGTAATACAAGTATTAACATTTTCAACCTCACAAAATTCATGACCTTTGAAAGTATTAGCTGCTTTTAACAACTGAGAAAACAGAGATCAAACACCTTTCTCAAGGTCACCCAGAAACTGGGGGAATGAAAACCAGATTTCTTCATACAGACCTTAACCACAAGGCATTCATTCCTCTCGTGGTTGAGCTTTAAGATCTTCAGGATGTTGTCTGAGACCTTGTGCAACTGATTAATCTGTCTGGCTATGTCTGTCATGCAGGTATGTCCAGTGCCACGTTACTCTGAAGTCTGAGCCAGCCACATGGCAGCAGAATGCTTTTGCCTCTGCCTACAAGGCTCTGATGGCTTTTTTCCCTCACCCTGCTGCAGTGTTTTAGGTCCTCCTGAGATCACATATCTCAGTGCAGTAAATCACGAGTGTAGTGACTGGTACTTTGTACTGGATCACTTCTAGTGGTATGGATTCCCTTAACCCTCATCTCTCCCAGCTGTGAATGGGGAAGATAAATGTAAGTATAGTACATCTTTAGCTATCTTTAGCTCACATTCTTCCTCTCAGAACAAACCTGCTCCTTTCTGGTCTCCTGCATTTTGTAGAACATGCCCACTCAGAACTTAGTGTCCATGAAGAAACAAGAAGAAAGTAGGAATATTTCCCTCCCTTGGCCAAATCTTATGTCCTCTATGCACTGTGTGATTACTTCAGGATTGTCACAAAACTTCTAAGGGGAAAAACACTTTTCCAGTTACATGTTCAATAAGATGTGCTTGTCTATTAAGACCCCTTCACAAGGAAGCATGTGTCCCATTTTGGTAACAAATGCTTTGCAGTGCTGGAGACATGAATGTTTGTAAATGCTTAAAAGTTAAGGACACTAAAATTCTTACACAATGTTCCTTGCAAGTTACTCACACTATAAAAATCGCTGTATTCGTTCAGGCCAAAATGGGATGTTTAAGATTAAGAATAGAGTAAACATAAAGTGATACTTCCCAGTCTCTGACTCCTTATCGCTTGGACTCTTCCTGACCCAGGGACTATTTTTAAGCATTCAGTAATCCTCAATAGTTTTGTACAGCACAGATTTATCTAATGTTTCCAGTAAAGTTTTAGCATTCATAGTATTATGTGTTGGGGACCTCCAAAATTTCACAATGTATAGGTAGTGTTCAGACGTCCAGGACCATATTTAATACTGTTTCACTAATACACTCCTCAGATACCAGAGTAACTCCCAGTTTCATGCTGAATACCATTTTTGAGATTACACACATCCCATTTACACAGAGAGGAACTGCTGCTACTGGAATTACTAAGAAATCATTGTCATGGTTCTGAATTAGAGCATTGCTTACAGCAACAGCAAGAGTTAGTATTAAGTTTATATATTCCCACTCTTTAGTCGAAGTTCTCACTTCACATAGGATTGTAGAGACAAAGAAAAACCAGAAAAAGCAGGTTTGCAATATTCCTGGAACTTATGCAGTGTCTAAATAGATAGTGTCAAGGTTGAGAGGACCCCAATGTCAATACCTTCAACTTGAATTATTTTGGTTTTAAATGCCATTTTAGTGTTTGCTAAATAAAATGTGAAATCTTTCTTTGAAAGGCTGCCATTTCAGGAGTGTAAAGTCCACTAGGTTTAGACTTCCAGATAGTTAAGTAGCTTCCATTTATTTCCATTTACACAGATACCCAGAAGATTGAAACGGAGAGATTTTCTGCCCTTTTAAGATTAGGAATCTCTTCTTTTTTTCTACCTCTTACTCTGTCACACTAGTGATACCACTCATAGGAGCAATTTAGCAAATATAATTTTGCTTTATCCATACACACAATTATGATGCGATGCTGGTGGGTATAAACAACTGCCTTGATGGCTTTCAAGTTTGTGAAGTTTATTGCAATGCCCGAAGAATAGTAGAAAGTATCATATCCCTTCAGGCGTTTTATTTCCTCATCGTTTACTATAATGTACTGGTTTGAAAAGTGGGTGGGATAAGGTTCTTGTAGTTACTAGAATGGGTAGGATCCTGGACCTATCTTTGAAAATCTTAGTGTCTGCAGCATCTCTTTTACCATTGTCTTCTTTCCTGTTTTCACATCTGCATGTTTCTTTTTTTCTGCTTTCCTTACCTGAACATTTTTCCTTTCCTAATTTTTTTACTTTCTTTGTTCTACTTGTCCTGGTTCAGCTAGGATAGGGTTGTTTCCCCAGCAGAGAGAGAGGGGGAAGGGATCTCCAGCTGGGTTATTCATACCATGCTGAAGTCAGGTTCAGAGGGGGGGGGGGAACTTTTTCCTTGGTGGCTTTTGGTGGCGGGAGCACAAGTCATGTTTGTTCCATGACCATTTGCGGTATTTCTCTCTATATCGTTTGTCTTGTTCACTGTTATTGCTGTTTATTGTTGTTATCATCGCTACTGTTGTTGTTCAGATTGTTTATCACACTGTTGTATTAAATTTCTTCTTATTTTACCCAGGGGTTTGTGCCTCACTGCCAGCCCGACCGGCTGAGGGTGGGGGAGGGGCAACAGCAACGTGCTCTCTGGTCCCGGCAGGGCCTAAACCAACACAGGCATCAGTTTCCCAGGTGATATTTTCAATCAAACCACTGAAATGCATATTGTGTTTTCACGTGGTAATGACTTGTTTAAGCCAGTCCTAGAATATTTTAATTAATTTCTTTAACACTGGACCTTCTCCTAATATGCTGATCTGTTAAAAGTCCTCAACACCAGCACTACCACCCCAGCAAAAAAAACCTGAGAGAAGATCTGATAATTAGAAAAGTTGCAGGCCAAAGACACCAATCCACCAGATAGTGGCTATGGATGGGTTGTGGTAGTGTCAGTCTTCATGGTGATGGGCCTCACTGCTCAAGACTTTTTGTCTGTTCTTTGTTGAAATCCAGCAACACTTCGATGAACTTGCAAGCACCACTTCCTGGATCACATCAGTAACTATTGTCATCTTTCACTTAGGAAGCAGGTAGAAGTGCTCCTCTAGCACTTTATTTTAATGTCTTAACTACTTAAGAAGTTCGAAGATCTTTCTTTTAAAAAGCAAAATGAAAACATGTAAGGACAACACTTCCTTACGCTGTTTCTACAGAAAATTGGTATTCGCTTCCTCTCATAAAAATCCATGCGTCAGATGTGGAATGGATTGCCTTAAAGAACATTTTGTACCTAGACTTATGATTCAATTGTCCTACAGGCTTTGTATCAAACTCATCAGAAATAATCCTAAGAACTGCAGAGCCTGTTGGATCAAGATCTTAAATCAGTCTGTGGAAGTTCATTGGTCTCACAGTGACTGTCACTTTTTTACAGTACTTCAAGATATAAGACTGTGACCTTGCCTAGCAGATAAGCCATCTGCTACCAAAATGGTGACTTTCAGTTCTGTGTTCCCCCACTTCTCCTTTTTGTGTTCCCCAAGATCCCCTTTTTTTTTCTATATAAGGCTAGTTCTGGCTCTCCTTTTTACCACTTAGAATGATTCAAAGTCATTGATCTAACAGAAAACTCACCAAGTAAAAAAGAAAAAAAAATAAAAATGGTCACTCATAGCATAAGAAAGACAAGACCATGCAGAGAGTAAGCGAAGAGAGAGTGAACTATCCCAGTTAAAAGTAGTGAACTATGGGATCAGGTCAAATACACCTCTCACCAAACAACAGAGGGAAAAATATCAAACATATTGCATTTCACTCTTAACATAGCTGTTTATAGAATCCTTTGTGCCATTGTAAATGACATGATTCTTCCCTTTATGGTGAGGGTTCCAAATGTGCAGGCATGAACTCTACTGAGTTTGTCAAGTCCACTCTGAGTGTTCTCATATAGATACTTAGTTGTAATAGGTAAGTATCACAGAATCACAGAATCACAAAATGATCCAGGTTGGAAAAGACCTTTAAGATGATCTAGTCACACAATTAACCTCACACTGACAGTTCCCAACTACACCAGATCCCTCAGCGCTATGTCAACCCAACACCAAAACACCTCCAGGGATGGGGACTCCACCACCTCCCTGGGCAGCCCATTCCAATGCCCAACAACCCCTTCTGGAAATAAATGTTTCCTAATATCCAGTCTAAACCTTCCCTGGTGCAACTTGAGGCCATTCCCTCTTGTCCTATTGCTTACTACTTGGTTAAAGAGACTCATCCCCAGCTCTCTGCAACCTCCTTTCAGGGAGCTGTAGAGGGCGATGAGGTCTCCCCTCAGCCTCCTCTTCTCCAGACTAAACACCCCCAGTTCCCTCAGCCGCTCCTCGTATGACCTGTGCTCCAGACCCTGCACCAGCTCCGTTGCCCTTCTCTGGACACGCTCAAGTCATTCAATGTCCTTTTTGGAGTGAGGGGCCCAAAACTGAACCCAGTCATCGAGGTGCGGCCTCCCCAGTGCCGAGTACAGGGGTCAGATCCCTTCCCTGTCCCTGCTGGCCACGCTATTGCTGACACAAGCCAGGATGCCATTGGCCTTCTTGGCCCCCTGGGCACACTGCTGGCTCCTGTTCAGCCGGCTGTCAATCAGCACCCCCAGGTCCCTCTCTGACTGGCAGCTCTCCAGCCACTCCTCCCCAAGCCTGTAGCGCTGCTGGGGGTTGTTGTGGCCCAAGGGCAGCCCCCGGCATTTGGCCTTATGGACACTCCCCCAGTTGGGCTCAGCCCATGGCTCCAGCCTGTCCAGGTCTCTCTGCAGAGCCTCCCTACCCTCGAGCACATCAACACTCCCACCCAACTTGGGGTCACCTGCAAACTGACTGAGGGTGCACTCGATCCCCTCGTCTAGATCATCAGTAAAGATGTTAAACAGGAGTGGCCCCAACACCGAGCCCTGGGGGACACCACTCATGACCGGCCGCCAACCGGATTTAACTCCGTTCACCACAACTCTTTGGGCCCGGCCATCCAGACAGTTTTTTACCCAGCAAAGCGTGTGCCCATCCAAGCCTCGAGCAGCCAGTTTCACCAGGAGAATGCTGTGGTTATCGGTGTCAAAGGCCTTACTGAAGTCAAGGCAGACAACATCCACATCCTTTCCCTCACCCAATCAGCAGGTCACCCTGTCGTAGAAGGAGATGAGGTTTGTCAAGCAGGACCTGCCTTTCACAAACCCATGCTGACTGGGCCTGAGCATCTGGTTGTCCTGCATGTGTTGTGTGATGGTACTCAGGATGAGCTGCTCCATCAGTTTCCCAGGAATCCTTACTGTGTAAGTATCCTAACATAATAAATCATAACTATGTGAAGACGCTTCATTGCATAGACACTGTATAATTATATGCATCCTACTCAGTCCACACCTATCAATATTATTGCTTGTAATTGCAGTACTTCTAAACATCATGAGCAAGTCATTTTTCTTTGAGAAATGTGTTCATAAGAACAAAAAAGTAATTCAAAGTTGAAGTAAAGAGATAAAGCAAGTCAGGGATTGAAAAGATTTTATCAGTTCTATAAACTGCTCTCCTTGATGCTTGATTTGCATTATTGTTTCATTCTGATAAAAAGAATTGAGAAATCCATTAAAAATCTGCTTTTACACAAACTGTACAGACTACAGAAATTAATAGATGGAAATCTATCAATTTGGTTTAAAAATTAGACTTATCACTGACCTATTGTTATACTATTTTGTCATTCAGACATATGAACTCCATGAGAAAAAAAAGGCAACACAGGAATATAAAAGAACTCAAAGTCCTTTTTTAGGTTAGGGTGGGTTTTTTGTTGCTTGGTTGTGATTTTTTTCCTGAGATTAAAAAAAAAAAATAAAAACTTACATTTTATAGGAATGTATCAAGGATAGAGCATGCTAAATAATAATATCAAGTGTAAACCAGCAAAACTGTATTTGCCTAGCTAGGTGTGAGGCAGGCCTGCTTCAGACAAGGCAGCTATAATTTTCAGCAGAAATTGGTTTTCAACCTTTGAAATCCTATGAAAATAATCCTCCTTCAGTGAATGCAGCTTGATGACCAAACTTTCCAACACCCTTCAGTATAGCAGTTCATAATGTCTCAGGTCACAAGGTAATTTTCTTTACCTTCTCTTGCCTTTCTTTCATTTATAGGGACCAGAAAACTTTCTGCCAAAGATGAGCTTCCATTTTTTGAGCATCTTTCCTGGCCTGACTTAGTCTCTCTTGACATGTTCCTCTGGGAAACTTTCGGTTCACTTGGCTCAGTGTGAATGATGATCAGTGAATTATTAATTTTTCCCACTTGGATGCATTCAACAGCAGCTCTGTGTCTTGTGTTGAAGGAGAGCATGTACTTCTATTTTCAGGGGTTATACCTGCAACAGGCTGTTCAATTTATCTCAGGAAGGATTCCCTCCATCACACACGTAGGACTTCTCCTGGTACTGATGAACATCTCCCATCACCTTTCTCTTTGCACTGTGATTATCATCCCTTTCCATTGTTTGTAAATTTTATGTGTATTGACCTTTATACTTCCAGACTCTCAACACTAGCTATCTTCTCCATTTTCAGTTCAGTGGCTAGCTTATTTCTTCCTTCTACTACCCCATGTTAAATTTTCTGACTATTTCTTCTCCTCTATAAAAAAAAATTCTTTTTGGTAGTATTTCTTCTCCAGCTGCAGATCTTTCTCTTGTCTTTAAGCACTTCCATGGATCTCTCTTGTTATCCTGAGTCTATTTTTGTCTTCCGTTTTTCACTGTATATGCTTTATCTTGTCTCATCCCTTCCACTACATCTTACAGACTGTGACTGACTTCCAGTATCATTTTTACGTGCTTATCAAATCATTGTATTTTTGCTTTAAATGCTGATGAGACATTTGGGTTTTGTATAATTTGTTAGCCACCTGCTGTTAGACAATGTACGTCCTGCAAATTTTGCAGCCATTCATATCTCTCTGCCAGGTTTATTACACTTAGGTACCAAATTCTCTTTGCTCTTAACACAGATGAACATACAACAACCTGCTCCTACAAACTACTATAAAACCTACCTTTCTCATTCCTCTCTCTTCATTGACTCCCCACTTCTTTCCATTTATAAGCATGGTCCTTGTTAACCGAATCTAATTTTATATCCGAACTCCCATTTGCAGAACATATACAAACATACTCCCTGTTCGCACTACGAAACCCCACTGAGAACTTCAGGTGTTACGTGAGTTCCCTCTAGTGGCCATGGTTATTTTAATTAAAAAAAAAAAAAAAAAAAAAAAAAGCTACAACTGGGGTTTGAAAGTATCCGCATGGAAGAGAGAGTGCCTTTCCGTGATAGGTATGGCCTTGATCTTAACTCTGTGAATTCGACGGAAAAAGAGCCAGGCAGTGTAACTGACCCTTAATTAGGCAAAAATATCCCTAACATTTCAGGTCCTTCCAGACCGTGACTGGGGACCAGTGCTTTCATTTTTAGAACAGCTGCATCAAGTCAGTTCTGTACCTGGTGCAACTTTGCCCTCATGTGTTGAAGAGTTCCTGCAGTCTGTTGTAATAAAAATTTAAGAAGTGATCCATAAATTTCCTGGAAAAAAATATTTTCTCAAAATAAACCTCAATTTTTGGTCCTTTATAAATCATTTGCATCATCATGAACAGATGATTTTGCAAAGCTCTAGAAGATAAAGATAAGTTTTCTCCAGAAAGTTTTCATGCCAGCCATATCAATAATATAGTCCCAGTAATACTAATTTTTATAGATTAACCTAGAGATTCTAAGGCTGGGGCTTCACTTTCTGCTAAAACACTACATCAGTTTCTGTCATGTCATTAGTTGAATCCTTACATGAAACTCAGTAGAACTGTTCTGCAAGGAAGGCACTGAAATGCTCTTTCGTTTTAAAAAAGTGGACATATTTTGAATAGATTTAAAAATCTGTGCCTCAGGGACTGTCATTTCCCTATCAGAGAGGATTTAATTTTAAAATCTTGATTGACAACCCTGCCCAGCAGAATTCAGGCTGTTTGAGACAAGCAAGGGTATTTCTCTTCCAAATCCTTTGTTTGATTATTAGGTCCTGTTGATCAGCTTAATGTTCTTAATGTATTTACCTTTCTCCTCTTTTGCTGTAGATCCAGTCCCTCCTGCCAGCTCACTATGTGTAGGATACACTCACCAGGCAGTTGTGATCACTGGAGGACTCCTGGCTTTTTCAGGAATGGCACTGGGATTTCTTGGACTCAGCATGGTCTGGATGTATGCAATGACTGGATTCCTACAGGGTATGACTTTATGGATTTCTTTCACCAGCTACTCAGAGCCCTTATTTGAGGGTGCTAATCATAGGAGTTTTAAAATCTGATTTCTATTTTGATATTAGGAGCAACTAGAACAAGAAACCATCTTTAAAGGTAATTTCTCTCATGTCCCACTCTAGAAGTGACAATTTCTGCTAGAAACCTGCAACAACAAAGAAGATGAATAATTAGATGCTAGTAATTTTCACCTGCAAATTATGTGGAACCAGAAAATGAAAAGTGGTTTATTTTTCACTCAGAGACAAGAGTTCTGTGAAGGTTTAAAGAACCTAAAGTGTGCTGAAGTACAAGGACATAGGGATCCCAAATTTTGTACTTTCTATCAAATAAATTTACGTTTTGAACGCAGGCTCAGGCTTTCAGCTGATTCCAACCCTTTCCCTTACTCCAGGACAGGCCAAAAAGTTGTATTCAACAGCTAGAAGATTTTCCTGGAACAGGAAGCAAAGCTAGCAGGGAATAAAATAAACCATTCCCAGTTCCATGCTGGATGCCCGAGAAAATGTCTGGAATTTGAGCCCTTTGGCAGTTCTGGTCTGCCAAATAGTTTCTAGGGAGCCATTAAAACCACTGTAAGTTAGAGCAGGTTTGAAGTCTGCCCAAAGTAGTCAGGCAAGAAAATGAAGAGCAAATAGAGCTAATACACCAGCTTCCTTCACCTTCTCCCTCACTTTTTATCCTAAACACAGCTCAGCCTAACCTGAGGATCTGATCTAGTACCAGCCTTAATTAGGGCAGCATGGACACTCTGAGATCCATCTGTCTAGTTTCAACCACATGGCCATGTGATTTCTCACCCAGTGGCAAACTTGTCAAATCAACTTTTTTTTTTTTTTTTTTTTTTTTTCCCCTCCCTACAGTGGAACTATAATAATGCATACTTCTGATTTTTTGTTTTAACATACACCACAAATATACTCTTACACATAGTACAGCTGAGCTCATGCTTCTGCTAGGAACAAAAATTGGGGTTTTTTACCAGTTTTTAACTTTGCAAATGAAGGAGCACTGACTGCTTTAATTTCCACCTTCACAAAATACCTCAAGAGTGTCAAACTGGTGCTACATGACTTGGGATTTCCTTTTCATGGACACCAGGCATTAGCATTGTTAGCTATTATTTCTCCAATGAAAGAGCTTTGGCAAATTCTGTTATCAGTGCTGGAGAATGTACCTTTGCATTCACATTTGGGCCATTTTTCCAGTGGTTGATTAGTCAGTACGGATGGAAAGGTGCACTCTATCATAGGTGGCATCCAACTCAGTATTTGTGTCTGTGGAGTACTGATACGACCCCTGGTAAGCAGCTGCCTCCTTGAGGCTAGCCATTCTGAAACTGAGACACCACCTGGAAATGGTCCATCTAGGATAGACAAAGAAGTCTCCCATCACACACAAAACCTTCAACTGAATGCTTGTGAGACAACCAGAGTTTGTACTTTATGCCATTTTTGGCATATTAGCTGCTCTGAGTTTTTTTGTTCCTCCATTATTTCATGTTCCACTTACCTACAGCCTGGGAATAGATGAATCCGTCCTATCCATTTTGACCATGGTGAACTTTGCAGGCAGACTGCTATGTGACTGGTATGACAATCTCCACATTACCAGAAGTGTTCATTTGCTGACAATGACAATTACACTGATCAGTACTTCCCTGATGCTGTTGCCACTGACTGACAACTACCTGTCCTTAGCAATATTTACTGGTTTCTATGGATTCTTCTTTGGTCTAACAGTCACTGTTCACATTACAGTTCCAGCAGATGTTGTGGGCATGTCAGATTTTGACAGTTCTTTATGGCTTTTCATGCTGGTTTGAAGCTCTGAAGGTTTTGACAGGCCTCCTCTTGCTGGTAAGTTAAGATGATACCCTGTCAAATATGGTTTACAAGAAGAAAGGGGAATGGTAACCCAAACTGAAAAAAATCTGGATCTGGACCCAAATGTCTCCCTTTTTTATCTCAGGACTATCTGGACCAAGCAGTATACAAAAACAGAGACCATCTGATTCCTTTCCAAAATATCTTGTTCCCTCTCTTTTCTGTGGTTTTAGAGATATGTGTTCAACATAAAACAGGGAAGAATGGTGTGGTTTGCATGGTGGTCTTCCTGCTTCCTGAATCCCACACAATCCACTCGATGGACTCCCACTGTCTTGCTATGAAAGTGCACATTTGGGACAAGCAGAAGATCCATACTTTCAGACAAGAAACTGAAATTTGAGACTAGCGATGTTGCATAAATGCTGGTATTGTTGGGAGGGTTTCTACAGAAGGTCAAATTGAACAGCTGTGTGAACCTCTAGGAAATATGCAGAGAGATGCCTGCTCTTTTCAGACAGCATTTGAACTAACCAATATAATAAATGGGGGAGGCAGCACATAAAAACAGTGGGAAGAGAAAGCAGACAATGAGACAGCATAGGAATTTATGGGCTGGCAATGAGACAAAGACATCTTGGAAAAATGCAAGACAAACAAGCTGCAAGGTGTAGGGACTACAAAGTGATATGGCAGAAAAATGACCAATGTGACTTGTAAAATGTGGATCTGAGTCGTCATCCAAAGACCACTACTCACACATTACAGTGACTTTTGTGGTAATGACACCACTAGTAGGTTGATAATGGGTCAGACTGGATACTGGAACATTTTCATTCACTTTTGAAAATATATGAACCAGCAAGATTTATAGAGAATCTGAGACAGAATTATATCAAAAGTATGTTGGGAAGATCTGAATAAAATACAAAGATAACAAGACATTTATATAGTGAGTGGCTGCTCACCTGTACTGTTTACTTGGGCATCAGTGCGACCTGCCATCGTACCCACAGGGCAGCCAATACTAACACATCTACTGCTGCAGCACTGCTAGCATACTACTATTTTTTCAGTATGGTACACAACATTAGGTATTTTGGTTGACCTAAAGCGACCTAAACCCGATCTTTTTGTTATCATATGTTACTCTGTAAAACAATGAACAGGAAAGCCCATAACCCTGCAGGCAACCTACACACCCATGTCTCCAGCAGAGGCCTCTCCTTGCCTTCTTTAAATTCTCTTGTGCTGTAGTTATGGTCCAAATCACAGCAGCTGATGACAGCTACACACAGAGCATGAGGCTACTCACATACAAAGCTGCATGATATGTTGGGTTTGGGTTTTTTTTCCTGGCATTACCTTCATTGTCTGCCATGTTTTAGGTTGGAAAGTGCTTCAATCTGTATAGCATATTGTTTTACTATCAATTTACATATGCAAAGTAAACGAGATGTGAATTTTGTTTCAAATTTTAAAATGCTGTAATAGGGTGATGTGCCATGCACTCATGACGTAGAAAGCTGCAAGACAGTATGTAGCTAGCATAGTCCCTTTGTGAGAGGATATGTTCACACTGCTGACCTAATTCACATTATCGGTCACATTGCTGGGACTAGTTTCTCTCTAGGTCTATCATGGACAGAGCTGGAGATTACAGAGCAGGCTTCTACATGGCAGGAGCCACTCTTGTCCTATCAGCTGGATTTTTAGTCACTTTAGATCAGCTCCAACAGAGAACAGAAAGAGCAAGCCAGACTAACACCAAAGCAGAAAAGTCAACATTGCCCTACCTTTCCTTCCAACTCCTTGAATCTTCAAAACAGAAGGTATCAAGAACATGACGTAGTAGTGTAGACTACACTGGACAACTTACAGCATTTCAGGACACATGGAAGTGTTTTATTTTCTCCAAACTCAGTATTAGTAGGATTTATAAAATGATGGAAGTTTTGGATAGGAATGTTTAAAACTGAGGAAGAAAGGCATTAGTTTACAACCAAACCACACTGGTAACCATGATATTATTTTCATGTTGAAGTTGCATTTTGACTGTACAAGTCTTCAAGATACTCCTACAGGGTTGTGATAAGCAAACTAGAGAAACTATGGTCTAAATGAAATTACTGTGAAGCATGTATGCAGCAGACAGAAACCCTCCCCCCAAATAAAGACTGCAGTCATCACTATCAAACAGATAGGAGTAGGCATCAACTCATAGCTTAGGGAAGTAGTGCTCAGTAAACAAGTTGAATATGAAAGCAATAGTACTTGAGTTTTGACAGTTTTGAGCAAAAGGGTTTGCAGGTACTCTACAGAGCAGGGCTTGAATCTGATAAATAAACAACCCTGATAAATGCAAAAAGTTACATGAATAATAGAACTCAGTATGGAGAAATGCAGTCATAAATATCAGAAACAAAAAGCAAGATATACACACATAAAATGGAGAAGGATTGGTGAATAACAGAGGAAGATCTAAGGCTACAGTGGATTTCAAACTGAGTAAGAATCCCAAATGGAACCCTGTATTAAAACCAGTGTCTTTCTGTGTAAGATAGATGAGATAATGACGCTTGCAAGGCTTTAACTGAAAGAGATACCTAAGTTGGAAAGAATTAAGTGGAACAAGAATAAGAAAGGTTAAGAAATCAAGTTTAAAAAAAAAAAAAGTGTAAGAAATAAAGTTTGTCTGGTTTAGAAGACAAAAGGTACAGAGCATGAGAACAGCCTTTGAATCCATAAGTTGAGATTAAAAGGACACAATTAATTCCTTTCCTTGTTAAGGCAATTAGTAACTGATGTAATTTGCAGCAAGGCAGAGTTTGGCAAAAAACTTCACTGCAGCTTGTTAAGTATAGAAACAGATTATTAAGCACTAGAAACAGTGAGAATATGAAGACACAGAGCTATCAGAGAGTAGGTAATACATGAGAGAAAAATCTAAATTTATTCAGTTGCACTTCAGAACAGTAGGATGGACTAGATGACTTCTAAGATCCACTTTAGACCCACATTTCAACTATCCTGAGGCTCTTTGAACAAATATTTTTTGATAAAAAGGGTCTGTATCTAAGTTTGGTTTTGTTCTTTTTTTTGTTTGTTTGTTTTTCAATTTTATTTTATCAGGGGGAAAAAAGAACATAAAAGATGGGAAGAAGGGCTGGATCACATTTAAAAGAAACAGTTAAAGGAAAAACATAACACTTAAAAGCTTTCAAACTATTACAAATGCCATAGCTACCCTAGTTATGAACTTCAAATTTTTATCATTGAAACAATTTACCTGTTAGGCAAGTTTAACATAAATCACTCATCTAAAATAATTATTTCTTGTCTCTTAAAAATAAGAATTATTTCAAAAATTTAATTTACAGGAAATTAGCTGAACCACTAATAGATCAACTATCTGTGAGGGGCTTGGTTGCAGAACATACATTGGAAGGAACACAACTGCATGAGCAAAGTCTTGTAGCAAGCCCCTGAAATTTCTGACAAAACATTTTTCAATCATGTCAGTTGAAAAACTTAGATTTTTCTAGAATTATTCTTCAACTTTCTGCAGTGTTCCAATATTTAAAATAACTCTTCATTTTACGAAACAAAAGGGCATTTCTGGAGGTTGGGAGGAGTGGAAAGATGTTTAATAGATGCAGTTTTCACCTTTGACTATCTTAAATTCTATAATTATTTACAAGCCCTGTTGCAAATGTCTGTATTTTGATATGTCCTGACATCTGACACAGACAATAAAGAAGGCTAGTGGCATCCTGGGCCATATGAACAGGGGCACAGGGATCAAGGGAGGTGATTATTCCCCTCTGCTCTGCAGTTGTACATCCATTTTGGGGCATCAAGTATAGGAAAGAAGTTGGTAAACATGACTGAGTTCAGCAGAGGACCACGGAGAGGCTGCAGGACTGGGGCTCTTTTCAGCCAGGAGGAGACACAGATTTGGGGGCACCTGGCAGCACCCCTGGCACCAATGGGGAGGATGCTGGAGACACAGCTGGGCTTGTCACAGCAGCACATGGCAGAAGTGTGAGAGGCAGCGGCACAAGCTGAAACACGAGAGGCTCAGGCTGGAGCCACAAGGACAGCCCAGCAGTGGAGCTGGGGCTGAGAGACGCTGGGTCGTCTCTGTCCTTGGCAGTTTCATGCCCCGACTGGGTGAAGCCCTGAGAAGCCTGATCTGAGCCCAGAACTCTCTCTCCTCTGGGCAGGGGCTGAGGCTGGAGACCTCCCCACGTTCCCCCCAGCCTGAACAGGATCCTGTGACTCTGTGAAGGGACAAATGAAAAGGTGTTATTTCATTTTTTTGCTAAATTCACTGATTAATATTAGTCACCTGGACACTGTCAGCTAAAGATTATGTATCTGTTTAACAGCACACAAAAAGTACTGAGTGTTTGCATTAATTTTGGGACTGCTTTTACCTCAGCTGTAGCAGCAATATTCCAAGTATCACTGGACTATTACTGCAGGGATTACTTGCAAAGGGCTGTTTTGTTCCAAGATGCTAATGATGTAGTCAGTGTTGCCTGTATTATCTTTCTTCAAAGAGTTTCTGAGATGGCCTCAGAGACCTAAATCAGCAGCTTACCTGCAAGGAGTTTCTCACATCAAATCAGTTAGCCACTCACTGGTGGAAACAGGACTGTGAGGCTTTGGAAAACACTGCCATTCTCTTGAATCCAGGCATGGCCTCCTGAAATTACATGCAAGGAATGTCATAACTGCTTCACCTCGACAGTGTCCGACTGCATCCAAAAGGTTTTCACTATGGTTGGTCATCCTGCAACTAATGGAGAAAGTCCTACAAATCTGAACAATCCCCTGGGCTCACATTCCCCTTGTCAACATGGACAAATTAGCACCAAAGAACAACACTGCCAGAAAGCTATCCAATCTTTTTTTGTTGGAAAGGGTGCAGGAACACAAGCATCACTGCCTTTGTGGCATACTCCCGGCATAGCTACTACAGACTACCTCTCCTTTATTGTACATTTGTGCTGGGTTTGTGTGGTGGGGTTTTTGTAGAGAGGGAGGGGGATACAGCGATGGACCCCTGTGAGAAGCTTCTTGAAATCTCCCACAGCTCCTAGTCATACCCACCTCTGGCCAAGGCTGAGCCAATTATCAATGCTGGCTGCGCCTCTGTGATAATGTATTTAAGAAGGGAAAACTGAGAGGGGGTTGGGGAGGACTTGTGAGGAGGAGTTGTGAGAAGGACACCTTTGAGAACACCAAGGTCAGTGGAAGGAAGGAGGAAAAGGGGAGAAGGTGTGCCAGTGCAGACGCCCATGTATCCTGTGATGAGATGACAGGGCTGTCCCCAGCCACCCATGGGTGTCACCAGAGGAGCAGATTTACCTGTGGAAGACCCTGGGACTCTGTGGGAAGAAGCAGCCCCCGCTGTTGTATTTCAGCACTGGGAGGACTGCAACACGTGGAGGTGACCCACGCCGGAGCATCTCGAGATGAATGCATCCCGTGGGGAGGACTCATGGTGCAGAAAGTCTGTGGAGGACTGTCTCCCGTGAGAGGGACGCCATGTGGAGCAGGGGGAAGAATGCAGACGAGTGCTTCCCCCGCTCTCCCCTTGCAGGAAGAAGCATCGCACTGACTTGCAACCCCCATCCCCTGCCCCTGCGCTGCTGGGGAGGAGGAGGTAGAGATCCCGGGAACAAAACTGAGCCGGGAAGAAGGGAGGGGTTGGGGGAGGCGTATTTAAGGTAGGGTAACTCTTCTCCCTGTCCCATTCTGTCTGTTGGTAGTGGTTTGAATTAAAGTGATGCCTCTTTTTTCTCCCCTAATGAAGCTGTCTTTTGCCTGTGACCATAATGGGTGAGTGACCCCTCTCTGTCCTCACCTCCATTCCTGAGCTTTTTGCTTCATTCCTCTCCTTCCCAGCGCTGGAGGGGAAGGGTGATTGAATGATTGCGTGGTGCTTGGTTGCCTTCTGGGCTCAGCCTGTGACAACATTGTTCAGAGATGTTGCAGAGGGAGATGGGGCTGACACTAAGGACCAACCACAGTTTCATGTGAAATTACTTGAGGAGGAACCAGGCTTTCAGGATGACAGTATATTAATAGTGTCTGTGCAAGGCAGGCTACAGGATAACATGTTGCTTCCTGCTGTTGAAGTAGCAGCAATGTAAGGACTGGTTTCTTTTCAGAAAAGCTCTACATCAGGCTTATACTATTCAACTACAGATGCCAGATAATACCTCCTTCACAGCAAATCTCCAGACCGTGGAGAGATGATGATTCTCAGCACCAACCTAACGGGGTGTAATCTTTTTGTTCATTCTTACTGTACTGTGTTACTGTTAATGTAGATTTAGCACCAAAATAATTGAGTTTCCACTGAAATTCCCATAAAACTCAAAACTAAAGCCCTTACTTTCTTTGTTCTGCCCACTGTAGGAAGCCTCAAATGCAGAGGAAAATAAAGACTATCAATTAAGAGAAATAAATTAATAAAAATCACAGTCTTGTCCTAGAAAAATGGAATCACACCATCAACAGCATGAAAACAACTATTCTTTTTAAAAGCTCAGGCTTGTTATTTTCAGTTACACTAGAAGCATTAGTTTCATGCCTATCATGAAGATTCACCAGAGTGTCTTAGGCTTGCCACAGGTTGCTGGCTATCACAAAAGGCCTGGGTTGCTTCTCCTAAGTATTCCTACTCTATCATCCTCTTCTCCTGAAATGTTATCTTTAAAAGAGTAATGACTGTGGAATTTGTATGTAAATTCCAGTGACTTTACATTGACAGAGATAGCAACACCACCTCAAAGAAATAAGATTTTGTAAAAAAAAATGAGATCAGAAACAGGACATGGTGTTTCATCTCATCCATCCAATTCCTCAATAGCAGCATTGTGGATTTACATACCAGATGGCACCACAGATCCATGACAAAGCCCTTGCTTGCTATACTATTAACAGGACATTCATTCAGAACACAGAATTCAATCAGTTGAAGTTTCGTTCCCTGCACTGCTTGAGGCAAGGAAGTGGCAGAAAGACTGGTTTTGTTATCACATGTATTTTCTATATGCCTCAGGTTTGATTCTGACAACAGTATCCTTCAGTCATCATCCTCTTCCAGAAGTGAAGCTTTCTTCAGCAAAACACATGATAATGAGCTCTACGACATTTTCAGAGTACTGCACAAGGGCTGGTATATCGCTTGGGAACTTGATAGACTGTGATAGTGTACACTTACTGTTTTTACACACATAGGTATCCACAGAAACTTTCCGTGCATCTCTTTTACTTTTGAAGCTTCCAAAGAGTTCATCTGGGATAATAAACACTGAACACTTGGCCAAATGAGCAAGTTTATGCTCCTCACTAACATTCTTTCTTCTTCCCCCCTTTATTTTTCCCGTCTACAAAAAAACCTGAGTTTTTCAAACTTTAATGGGTCTAGCAAAAACAATTAGATTCTTCTGTTGTTAACCACAGAATGTTTGAGGTTGGAAGAGAGCAGTGTGCTGTCATCTGGTCCAACAGCCCTGCTCCGGCAGGACCACCTACAGCCAGTTGCCCAGCACTGTGGGCAACTGTGATGGATTTTTCAGTATCTTCAAGGGAGGAGACTCCACAACCTCTCTGGGCAACCTGTGCCAGGGCTCAGTCACCCTCACAGTAAAAAGTGTTTCCTGATGTTCACCTGGAGCCTTCTGTGTGCCAGTCTGTGCCCATTGCCTCTGGTTCTGTCACTGGGCACCACCATGGAAAAATATCCAAAGATCAGATTTTTACTATAATTTGGCAAAACACACAAGCAGAAAAATTGTCTGGCTCTTCCCAGTTCTGCATTAACTAAGAATATTGATGTTAACACTTTTCACTGGATTTTCTAAGGAAATGGATGTTGATCTCCTACAATCTGTTCTTTCCTATTCTCTTTTGAGTCTTGTCAGCCATTTTCAACCACATTTAGAGCCTGGTTCACAGCTTCGAAGATAAGTCAAAACCTCAAAGTTTCAAGTCCGTCAAACCTAAAAAAAAAAAAGAAAGCTAGGCAGGATAGAGAGGCCCAAATTAATGATTCATTGGGACAAATGACAAGCAGAACACAGTTCTTATATCTTCCTTTTTTTTTTTTTTTTTTTTTTTTTTTTTTTTTTTTTTTTTTTTTTTTGGCAGTAACTAACACATCATAGTACCCAGACTTCTGAATTAATCACAGACTGCTGTTCCTTGCCTGGTGTTGTAAATGGAATTACTGCAGTGTGAGCACAGGCAATTCACACAAATCCATAGGAAACCAGGCTTCATTAGTTCTGCAGCCCATGGACAGACTCTGTTTTTGTACTTGCCCTAAGAAACTTTTATCATGGTGCAACAGCAGCTGTCTGTGAGTTTTATACTAGTTTCCACTGTGTTAAAATGGTGCAAAAAATGTGCATAAGCAAAGCAATAGTTGAACACATGCAAAACCACCAGCTGTTACAAAATAATCAGCCCTAAATCAAAACAGGTTTGAATTTAGAAGCAGTCTGCCCACTCTAGGAGGTTGTAGGTAAAGGCAGGTAAAACTGTGTTGAGCCATTTCTCAGAGGGTATGTAATAAATGAAGAAGTAACAGATCTTTGAGCTGCTTATTAGGAGGGAAGGATACAGACTGTAAGAAGAAAATGAAAAGTTGTCTCCTTGCCTCTTTCATGCTAATTAATGCATTCAGAAGCTGTACTGAAAGGAATTTAAACTCGTGATAGTCATAAGAGAACAGATCAAAGAAGAAAAAAACCCAGATCAAGTCGAGGAAAAGAAAGCTGTACATGCCTTTCAGTTAACAGACAGAATACAAGTCTGAAGGAGGTAAGATCTGTAATTTTTTTATTCTACCCAGAATTTTCTATGTTGCTTCAGAAGGGGCTTGACTGTCTCTAAGTGAACTCTGAAAATGTTTTGTCTCCTTGGCTAGAATTCTCTTCAGTGAAGTCACTGGGTTTTATTACCTGTGTAAGGTAGGTGGATTAGCTGGATACTATCAAGTAGGATCTGTTGTGCTGTTTAATGACAGGAACATGATTAATTGTGGATTACTTCTATATTTGATCAAATAGATTTTTAACTGTTTAGACTACTTTTAACTGGATGATTATTCCTTTAAGACTGGAAATTAAGATTAAATTCTCTGCATATCTAAGTATAGATTGTCAGCAGATATAAATTAATGTAACTACCTGAAAACCAACAGATCCCTGAGAGTTTATACTAAATGGAAAGCCTGTCCCTTGAGTGTTACAGGAAATAACAGAAATAAAGAAACACCTACTTGTAAGGACGGTATAAGTTTTTCTTCTTCTGAATAGTTTTTCTTGTCCAGGTAAATGGCCTTTCTTTCTATACTCGTAAGAAATTTTGTCAGAAGTCTGCCATCACTTAGTACCTAAAGAGACCATGTCAAATCCTTCTCTGTTGCACTAAGGTGCAAATACCTTGATGTCAGTGGAGCTATTCAATTGTAGACTATAGTTATAGTTTTGAGTTTTGCCTTAAATTGGGACGATTGCATATGTATCTTCTATATATGTGTATGCATATGTATATTCTATCCTGTAGGTTTGAGCAAGACCAAGCTCACAAAATGCCCAGAAGAAACCACCATTCGGATGGCAACTTTTTCAGAGGGAAAGGACACAGCTATCTTGCAGCAGAAGAGTAAGCATAAACCAAAACCTATGTTAGCACGTAAGACGGTGAAAAAAATTTACATTGAAATAAATGTACAACATAGTATCAGAAGAAGTACCGCTTTATAGAGGGCATTTTAGCTATCCTGTAGTTGTCTCTAATGTTTGTCATTGCAGAATCATAGAGCCCTCAGTGGTTAAGATCATATGATCAGAAGTAATTTACCTTTATAATAAAATTACCAGGTTTATTGATGCTTATTTAGAAAATTCTTTTGAGGCTGTTGCAAGGTGGTCTTTACATTAAGTTTTACCTTCAGATGCACATACTTCTCTTCAGAACCTCAAAGGGGCATAGTATCACCCTAAATAATATAAGGGAACCCCCCCCTCGAAATGGTAAAATACCTTCAAAAAGCAGATGGAAACATCAATGCCATACAAATATGACTCTCAGTAAATTGTTTCTGGGTGAGACTCCACTTAAGCAGAACTAATTCAAGCTAACACTTTGTTAGTGTTGGCTTACAATAAAATATGTTGGGTCTTGGATTACTAGAGATGCTATCCCACTGGTGATGTGTTACCACTTTAGACAAATACTTGGGATATCTATATGTGGAATATGTTTCTGGTACTGGGTTCTTGGCCCCCAAACTTGGTGACTTGTCCCCCCCCAACCC